CCGCCCCTCACCGGCACCTCCCGCCCCCAGCCGGGACACTGCCCGCCCCGCCCTGACCTGCCCCCAGGCACCTCCCACTCCCACCCGGGACACTGCCCGCCCCACTCTGACCTGCCCCTCACAGGCACCTCGCTCCGCTTGCGGTCAGTCGAGGGGCCAGCAGCTCTGTGCACATTCACGGTAAGACCCCTGGCTGCTTCCTTTTAGCCAGCCAATCTTCCGGGGCCTATAGGCGTCAGCGCTGCCTGGTTGCTTTTTTCTTTGATATTTTCATTCCCTCCGCTCCTTGTTCCCCACCCCCTTCTCCCTTCTTCATGTTGGGTCTGCACACCCTAAACTCCTAGCTCCATCCATCTGAAGGAGTGGGCTGTGCCGAAAGCTCATGACCCAGCTACATGTTGTGTTAGCTGCTAAAGTCCTGGAATCCCAGTTTATCCACAAATTCAATTCACATGCTAATGGACTCACTGGTGATGTGGGTTGCTGGGGACTCTACGTACTGAATAACCACTGAAGGTGCTAACAGCTCCCTGAGCGGTATCCTGTCCTTTTCATATGTGTTCATTTTTTTAATTGTATCCTTTAGTATATATGGTTGTGACTATTTTCTTCCACTATTTGATCTGAGGAAGTGGGTCTGGCCCACGAAAGCTCATCATCTAATAAACCATCTTGTTAGTCTTTAAAGTGCTACCTAGTCCTGTATTTTGTTTCAGCTACCCCAGACTAACACGGCTACATTTCTATCACTATTCTTCCTATTTTAGGAATCTAGCTATTGATTTTGATCTGCTTAGGTTTAAGTACCCATTCTCCAGATACTTAATGATGCTCTATCTCCCACCCCCTCCCTTTTTCTCTCTCACCCTTCCCCTTCCCCTCTCCTAGGGTATGTCTACACTACCCTCCTAGTTCGAACTAGGAGGGTAATGTAGGCATACCGCACTTGCAAATGAAGCCTGGGATTTGAATTTCCTGGGCTTCATTTGCATAAGCTGGGCGCCGCCATTTTTAAATCCCAGCTCGTTCGAATCCCGTGCTGCGCGGCACGGACTAGGTAGTTCGGACTAGGCTTCCTAGTCCGAACTACCGTTACTCCTCATTCCACGAGGATGAATGTGTCATATTAGCTATCTTGCACTGCCCAGGGCTGCAATCGTGGGGGAGGGAGACAAAGGGGGCAGTTGCCCTGGGACCCATCCATTTAAAAGGGCCTGGGGCTCTCGGCTGCCATCGTTGGTACCGTGGTGGCAATAGCAGCCAGAGTCCTGGGCCTTTGAAATCACTGCTGGAACTGTGCTCGGCATAGCCCGGGTGGCACTGAGGCTGAAGGCTGGCTGCCCCTCGCCTCACCCTTTCCCGAAGTGCCACCCCTTCCAGCGGTCCTGAACAGAGCCCCCCCACACACATAGCCCAGGCTTCAGTGAAATCTGTCACCAGCCCCAGTTGGGTCCTACACGTGTGGATAAATCCCTGTAATATTATATTTTGTATTAAGATCTTGTCCTTTTAGATATGTCTTTAAGTGTTCTTATAGAATCTCTGTAAGAAAAAAAATGTCTTTTGAGCTCTTCCCTTTCCTTGATTGCCCTGTTGAAATGAATGAGGTGTGAATGGAGACTGAAAGGGGAGCACCTCCAGCAGCAGTTGCAAGGGTGGAGAAGATCTGGGAGCCAGATCTAAGACAATACCTGGGCAGTGAGCTCATTAAGAAGACTGGACATACAGACACCTTGGGAGTCAAGCAGCAAGTGCCTGCCCTTGGAAGAACTCTCTTTGAAGCAGCATTAAGAAAGGCGAGGTGATGACTAATTGGCTGCATGAGAGGGATAAATAGGAGGCATCTTGCAGCGGGACCCCAGGTTTTCATCTTGTCCACATGGGAGCATAGATCTGGATCAGCAGAAGCTGGGCTCCACCCCTCCCCCATCTAACTCACCTGGCCAGTACAGTTAGGGGGAGCAACTTTTGGTAACAACAAGACGGGGGGGAGAGGGAGAGAGAGTGAGAGAGAGAGAGAGTGTGTGTGTGTGTGTGTCATATGCATATGATAAGTATTGATTGATCTATGGATGTTCAATGATAGTGGCATGTTACCTTATCCCCCTGAAAAAGATCCCCAGTACTTCTTTTAAGTACAACACAAGTGCCTATCACATGTGGCTTACCTCCAGTGCATCAGCTGTCCCCAGAGCAACTGTGAGGGGGAAAAGCGGCACTAGACTCTCAAACTCACACTTAAACTTACAAAAGACACAAAAGCCCTATCACCTGTGGCCGGACACTTGGAACAGAGGGATCGCTCCACAGCCGCATTCTCAGTCCCCTGTCCTCCAAAGAAAGCTGCGCATCGGGCCCCGAGCTGCCCCTGCACCCCGAGCTGTCCTGCGCCCCTATGCCACAAACTGCCCCTGCGCCCCAA